ATTTGAGAGCTTTTCGCCTATGTTTTTACCCCCCACCCAAGTTAAAATGCACTTTATGCAATCCCCATCGCACGAATTTCAACAGCCACCTGATGTGCCAATGGAATAATATTGTAATAACAATCGAAATACCCAATATGCGCAGTATTGATTTTCTTCGGTGCTAGCACAAAAAAAAACAAGCGAGAAAAAAACGACGCAAAACAAACGCATACACAGAAGCTCGCACATACACATGCACACACGCACTCATATACACACATACCCATATATATATATATACATATATATATATATATATATATATATGCACTTGCATATATTCGAGTACTTACGGGCACACGGTCTGGATATTTGCGTCGGATCTTGTCGCCCTCGGCGCGACGCTTCTCGAAGGCGTGCTCCTCCTTGTACTGGAACTTCATGATTGTAGTGAACAGGTAATTGGCTAAGAAACGCAGCTTCTATTGGTTGGCTAGTCTTCACTTCGTTTTGCTGTTTCACAGTGGCGAGTATCGATGCGTCGCTGTGCTTGTGTTTTTCTCTTCTCTGTGTTTTCTCGTCCAAACGGTCTGAAATACTTGCGTAGAGTGACCGTGCGCAGCAGATGGTAGATGGCTGCGGCCTAAAATCGATGACTTGCTGCTTTTATCGATAAGCACCAGCACAGTGGTGACTGCACTCGCTAACTGCGGTGGCACGACTGACAGGCCAGCAATCCAAAACGCGACCATAATGGTTGGTGTACTCGCTAAACACTAACGCGGTGTACATTATGGTTCGTATACTCGCTAAGTACTATCGCGATATGCATTATGGTTCGTGTACTCGCTACACGTCACCCTTCATTGTGGTTGTTGTACGTGCTAAATTGCATATTGGGCTATGGTCACATTGCACATATAACAGTTTTTCGCCGCAGCAGAATATCGATTAAGCCATCGATATTATCGATAACACCCACTGTCATCGATGGATTGACGCAGCAGCCTGGACGAAACGTCAATTGTTAACTGTTCCCTGCGGCCGCACACACTCGCACCCACGCAGGCACACACACACACATATTCACATCGCACGGTGTGAAAACAAACAAACAGACACAAGAGAAAGATGAGCAGCCAGGGACACCACAAGATGCAGGGATGCGGCAGCCTGTCCAGCGGCAAGCAAAGCGGCGCATCCGGCGGCGGCAAGAACAACGGCGTCCAGGAGCAGGAGTTCACCGACGTGATCGATCTGGGCGATCGCTTCTCGGCGGACATGGCGCGCCTCTGCATGAACGAGCGGTACGCGGACGTGGAGTTCGTCGTCGAGGAGCAGCGCCTGCCCGCCCACCGCGTCATACTCGCTGCCCGCAGCGAGTACTTCCGGGCGCTGCTGTACGGCGGCATGGCGGAGACCACACAGCGCCAAATACCGCTGGAGGTGCCGCTGGATCCGTTCAAGGTGCTGCTGCGATACATCTACTCGGGCACACTGCTGCTGTCCACCCTGGACGAGGATGCCGTCATCGATGTGCTGGGCATGGCCAATCAGTATGGATTCCAGGATCTGGAGATGGCCATCTCCAATTACTTGCGGCAGTATCTGGCCTTAAACAATGTGTGCATGATTCTGGATGCGGCGCGACTCTACAATCTGGAGGAGCTCACCCAAGTGTGTCTAATGTTCATGGATCGCAATGCCGCCGACCTGCTGCAACACGACTCCTTCAAGACGCTCTCCAAGGTAGGTTGCAAAGAAATGGATAAAGGTGGCGCTAAGTGTATGTAATGCTTGCAGGAATCGCTGGAGGAGGTGCTGCGACGTGACTGCTTCTTCGCACCCGAGGTGCAGATCTTTTTGGCCGTGTGGAAGTGGAGCCGCTACAATACCAACGTGGACATCAAGTCGGTGGTCAGTTATGTGCGCTTGCCGCTGATGAACCTCGAGCATCTGCTGCAGGTGGTGCGTCCCTCGGGCATCCTGGATCCCGACAAGATTCTCGACGCCATCGACGAGCGCAGCACCTCGAAGGGGCTGCCCTATAGGGCGGCACTCTGGCCGGAAGAGAACGTGGCCACGGCGAAGTTTCTGTCGCGCTGCATCCAGGGAGAGTGTCGCACAGCGCTGCTGGATGGAGATGTGACCACCTACGACATGGAGCACGGGTATACGCGCCACTGCATCACGGACAGCAACGATGCGGGCATTGTGGTCGAACTGGGCACGCTCTGCATGATCAATCACATCCGCATGCTGCTCTGGGACAGCGACAGCAGGGCATACTCCTACTTCGTTGAGGTGTCCGGCGACCAGCAGCATTGGGAGCGCGTGGTCGACTACAGCGACTACCACTGCCGCTCCTGGCAGTATTTGTACTTCAAAGCGCGTCCCGTCAGATTCATCCGCCTGGTGGGCACACAGAACACAGTCAACCGGGTAAGACAGCAGTGTTGTATTCGCATCTTCCTATTCCTAAGCTTTTAACTTTCCATAAATAGGTATTCCATGTGGTGGGTCTGGAAGCCATGCACACGGCCACGGTGCCGCGGTTAATCGACCATTTCGTGGCGCCCAAGGCGAACGTGGCCACCGTCGAGATGAGCGCCATTGTGACGGACGGCGTGAGTCGCACCCGCAACGCGCTGATCAACGGCGACTATGTGCGCTACGACTGGGACTCGGGCTATACGTGCCACCAATTGGGCAGCGGCGAGATTGTCGTCCGTTTGGGCCAACCCTACTATGTGGGCTCCATGAGGCTGTTGCTGTGGGACTGCGATGACCGCACCTACAGCTTCTACATCGAAACTTCGACGAACCGCAAGGACTGGCAGATGGTCGTGGACCGGCGCAACGACAAGGCCCGCTCCTGGCAGAACTTTCACTTCGCCCCGCGTCCCGTGGTCTTCATCCGCATTGTGGGCACGCGCAACACAGCGAATGAGGTACGTAGCAGTGCAGCAGTCACAAAACAAAAGAGATTAGCTAATTGTTCCTGCTCTCAGATCTTCCACTGCGTCCACCTTGAATGCCCCACCCAGGACAAGAGCTACTTAAAGAAGATTGCCGACATGGAGAAGGAGCGCGAGAAGAAGGAGAAGGAGCGCGGATCGGAAAAGACGGTCAAGGCTGACGATGACAATATGGCCTCTACCTCGGGATCCTCATTGGGTTCAGTCCACGCCGAAAGTCCCTCCACTTCCTCCAGCAGCAGCCAAAGCGTTTTAAAGTCCAACCACTGGCCGCCACAGACGCAGTCGCCCAAACTGGTGCCGACCAAGGAAAAGGCAGTGGCCGTTGTCCCACCCACTCCACCAGCACTCTCCCCGTCCGTCACGCCAACACTTCCGGCTCCTCTGACCCCGGCACCTTCGTCGCCCCGTAAGCAGGAACAAAATCAGCCAAAGACGATCAGTGCAGACGCAAGCCCCCACACCAGTCCCAGTCCAAGTCCAAGGAGCAACGCCAGTCCGAGCACAAGTAGGAGCAGAAGCCAGAGTGCGGAGTCGGAGCCAGTGCCGCCATTGGTGGAGCTGGACACCAAGGAGACGCGCTGAGCCGAGATGAGCTGAGCTGAACTGAGGACTGCTGCGGCCGATGATATTGTGTACTTGAATGCTGTTAGTCCCCGCGCTTAGTTTTAGTTAGCAGACCGAGCTGCTCTTGTTATCTAGTCCTTCCCAGTGCCCCTGTGCTTGCTGGCTCCAAAACGCGCGCATCGCTTATTGGTTTTGCGTAATTACCTTAATACGTTATATACTTATATACATATACATTTGATTTTATTGTGATCCAGAGAAAATTCCTTATGTTTGCAAGGCAGCAGAGTTATTTATATAAGCAATATCACCTAATTCTATGCACACACATATTTAACGCGAATTCCAATGAGATTTCCGAACAGCTGAACCCAAATTGTATACGAGATCCGATCGCATATCCGGAGTCTGTCCAGAGTTGTGTTCTGTCCATGTCCTTAACGAAAACAATCCAGTTGATCCGCAACTCGTAGTCTAGGCTCATCGAGCGGGCCAAAATGTAAGCTCCATTTATTAGGCAAAATTTGTCATAGTTTGTACTGCACCCAAATAAAAGCTAACCAAAAATAAAAGAGTCACCGCTTGTTTCACTTTCGCAAATCAATCGCTTTCTTATTCCAAGGCACTCATCCGTTGTTCCACAAATTCCGCCGCCTGGGACTACTGTGCACCTCACATGCCACCCACTGCTGCCCCAACATCCACAACACGCTCCACTGTTTTCCAATTCCAATCAGTGGCGGCCCACGGCCGCTGCAGCGGCAGCCATAAAAGTCCAATCAGAACGTTAAACCAGTTGCGCCGCACAGTGGGCGTTGGGAAGACAGAGAGGGGCGTAGAGCCAGCAAGCGAAACAGAAAGAGATGGCGCAATGCAGTGCTAGTTGAGTTTGTTGGTGAATTTGAAGAAACCTAAAATATAATAGATATAAAAATCCTTTCCAATCGATAGTTAGACCGCAATGATAATCAAGGTACTGATAACAAGTACATATGAAAATATTACTCATACGCCGCGTTGTTTCTATGACCTAATGATATTTTGTATACCTTTTACTGGTTTCAATAAAATGTGAATGAGAATTTAATGAGCAATCTAGACGCAAGTCAGACTCTTCACTACACAAAATCCTTTGCCATTAATTATTGATTTTGCAGTATTTAAAAGTTATTAAAAATGTTTGATGCTGCCCACTGTGCATTGTGCGAAAGAGTCAGCGGCGCAAGCGCAACAAACTAGTTTGCCCCACAAGCAGCGGGGAGTGGCAACCTGAAGGGGGGAGGGGGAGGGGTAGTGCAGGGCGTTGCAGGGGCGTCGTCAAAGGGCGCGCGCAACTAACCAGCCAACTGACTAACTCACTAACTGCCTGCTGGCCGCCTGGGAGAGCGGCTGTGAGTGTGAGTGCGAGTGGGAGAGCGCGAGTGAGTGCGCGAGTGCGGAGCGGGCGGAGCGGCGTGCGGTTAACCGTTAGCCTGCAGCGGCGGCAAGTTCAGCTCGCAGTTCAGTTCAGTCGACCAGCGGCCGCCGTGGACAAAGCAACGTACCGTACCGCCAGCACTCGCAGCGCAGCGCACGGATATATAGCTACAGCTAACTACCAGATACTAAACTGCACACACCGCTCTACACAAATATCTTGAGAATCAGCGCGCGTTCATATACATCAGATATAGATATATAGAGTAGCCGCCGATCGACCGACCGACGGACCAGCGAACATATAGAAAGCGGTGCTTATTTTTTCATCTTATTTTATTGTGACAAAAACCGCGACAAGTGTTTAAAAATAGTTGTTGTGCCCGCCAAACTGAAACCAAGCCAAGCTAAACTATAAACAGCAACAACATGGTCGAGACCGTTGTCAACATCGAGCGCACAACAACAACAACAACGACGCCGAACGGACCGCCAGTTGGCGGCGATGGCGGCTTCTGGGGCGCCATCCGCCTGAACATCGACTATTTCCGCACCGTGCCGGGCATCATCAAAATCGTGGAGTTTGTGAGTACACCTAGCTGAGATACATTTACATTTGCAGATATCCAACTTGCATTTTCAAACGCAACACCCCAATTCTAAATATTGAATCCACTTCCACTTAAATCTGCGCACAACTGAAGCCAAATTTCCCAACTGTACCTCAGATGTTTCTAAGCTTTTAGATTTACATTTTAAATCACAATTTAGGATGGGATTATGTTGCGAGTGTACCATAATCTACGACAATTATTTCGCATTCAATGTTTGGAACTTGAATGCTAAACGAATTTGAGTGTTATCGTATTTCCTCGAAACGTATTTCCTTTAGAACGAAAAACTTAAATATTTCTTGAGTAATTGTTGGATAACCATTCCCTATAGAGCTCTTATCGTCATAAATTGAACGGTTTTATCTAGAGTTTGCGTTGCGCCACCATTCTTTATCGAGATATCTTGAGACTTTGGAAATCCTAGAGCCTCGATGTGTACTCAATTACACAAATATGTATACACTACGCCGAACAATGGGCGTGTGCATTTGCCCTTTGTGTGGGCATGTAGGTATGTCAGGATCTCATTAGACTGAGGGCGGATAAGATAGGGGTTGTGGGAACTGCAAACATGTGAGCTCCGTGGCCATGTGGTCATTCTGGCATTCGCCAGCAGAAATCCACAGACGTAGCACCTTGTATTTGGCCTGGTATTTGAAGCCATGATCTTGTTCCCACAGCCGCGACAAAGTGAAGTTCAGTGTGGGCGATGCATCGGCATGCGACGCCAACACAAGATACTCGCAATTACAAGAGTGGGCACTTGTGTGGCCCAACTGCTGGCAGCACCTGCTCAGGTGTGGAAAGTTAGTTAGTTTCAGGTGAAACTACTCTATTCCTTCGCTTCCTTAATCGCTTTGCGGTGCAAGGTCAAAGGATAACGACAACTGCTGAGACCCACATAAAAAATGCATTATTAGGCGCTCGTCAGTTGTCACTGGAAAATCAATAACGAATAAATAGGGGTATGATATGATATCCGTCGCAATAAACAGTGCCTATAAAGTTACGTATTGATTTTCTGCTCTGACAGCCGATTGTCAGCGATTATCAGGCATTAGCTAACTTAGCTGAAGGAAAATTAGTACTTGGCCGCTCTGGCTGCTGCTCCATAGGATTCCTGGCGAAATACAAGCCAAAAAGTTGTCATTCAAATGCTTTGATGTCGAAGACGGCCATTTGGTTTTCTTTTTCGGTCAAATGGGATACTTTTGTGGCAACTAATCTTATCGGTACCCTTAGGCGATAGTCTGCTGATAGTCTTAGTGCAGTATTAAATATGGAAAAGTGCCCCACTTGAGCGTTGCCACAAAAACAGGGTCATAATTGCAGCTGCTTGATTCCCAAACGCCAATTTGGAGGTATTAATTCGCTGAATAAATAACTTGAACAGTTTCAGGGCTATCTATTTTAGGACTTTATAATTGTTTCGTGAGCTTAATTGTATATGATTATATTACTGGAACTGTGGCTCGAATCAGACTGCAGTTTGCTAACCGATCGTGACTCACTTCGCCCGATTTTTCGACTATATCGAGTGCCACAGCTAATCGCACATCGCACATCGCACGTTACTCATACGACCCGTTATCCAAACAAAGTGGGCGATAGTGTGGCGACCAGCTGTGCGAGCGGCGAGGAGCAGACCGACCACACTTTCGGTAGCCATGCTGCTGCTGATAAGCCAATCGATGCCCGACACCTGACCGCCGATCGTTAATTTGCCCACGGACCCATTACTCAGCCGCCCTGCAGTCCCGCATCAAACCAAGAAAATAATCCCCCGAAATATTACGCCTCTATCGGCCGTATCTTATCGTTTTGGCCTGGCAATTAGCATTTTGGACCCAGTATTGCCTCAATTTACCTCTATACATGTTCAGCCGATGCCCGAGCATACATATATGCATTCCATGGCCAAGAGTGCTCTATATACACACACGCACACGCCACTATGTATATGTACATATGTGCACATCGGAAGGAGAACGATTTATTATTAAGTTTTGTTGGTCGCGGTCCCTGACGTTCGGGCATTTTTTATAATAGCCTAATTACGTAAGATATGTATTTTGGAAGCTGCCGACAACATTCTTATTGTTTGACATTGTAGCACTGTCGTGGATGTGAATTTGAATGTTCTCGCCAAAAGCGGAAATTATGACACACATACGGTGTCATTCAAGAAACTTTTACCACAAAATGCGGGGGTGGCGATCGGGGAATTCGAGCCGAAAGTCACTTCAGACAGTTGCTGGTGTTTGTTGGCGGTTTGGCGAGAATGCGATCGATCGTTGCGGCATCCATTCGGTTAAGGTCGCATGTACGGTGCGCGCCATTGGCGTAGGCTGTTTGGCTTCCAGCCGATGGCAGTGCTCTACATAATCCCCTAATATACGTTTACGAATGAATTTCAGTTACATTATTCCCGTTTTAGACGTCTTGCCTTACAGCTCCGAAACGCACTGTACTCAGTGCACATGGCTTTGCAAATACGCGTTTGCTAATTGTGTGCTTGGCTACATTTCAGGTAATTGACGCCGACTAAGCGTATGGCGCTCAGAAAAGTGAGCTCATCTTTGAAGCTCCGTCTTGGCCCTGTTAACAGATTGTTAAAAAGGGAGGGTTCTATAGATATGATTTTAATAGCCCCATCTATATATACGTGTATCTGCCGGTGGGCCACTGAACTGAGGCTTATCTACCTTAAACAATCATTGCTATCTTTATTGTTTATCCCATGCACAGAAAATTCGATGATATGTTATTTAAGTTCAACATCAAAGTTATCAGTACAAGAGCGTTGACCCTTCTCTATGAGGTAATCAAGTTTAGGGTTACCATAAACAGAACAATATATTAGATATTTCCTAGCTTAGATCCACACTTCTGTAGGTATATTTGTAAATATTTGTAAAATATGACACCTTACTGCTTTGGCTTGAACTGTATCTGTATCTGTACCTGCAGAATTCTGTATAGGCTGAAGATTGTTGAATCAGTTCAGCATGGATATTGTTGCTTCCGTGTGACCACCACAATTTCTGTGGCTTCCATTGAACTTCAGACGAGGCTAGGCTGTAGACCGTATAATCGGAGGCCAAGAACTAGATCCATTTCAGAGTTTCAAGCGTTTCGCGTCATTGATTCCGCTGGAAAAGTACATAATTATGCACCCAACTCCTGCGCGGCTTTTCATGCTCCGCAAGGCAAACTGATCGTTGCCATGGATTTATATTATAATATATGGTAATAAAAACTTGTCAACCGTGTATATAAAGAACTGTCAACATATATGTGTATATATATGCCAAAGTGAACGACAGTTCAATATATGTATGCGCACAAGTAAAAATAAAAATAAAAAGCCAGCCATTAATTATGTTTAGAAAAGATAAAATTCGTATAATTCCCAGACGAATTTCTCTCTGGCTCTTTTATTTTTGAAAAGTGACGCAAATCTGTGGAACACAAGGCTACAAAAAAAAATGCAAATCAAGAATACGAACACCATTAAAAAATGTGGAAATGCAATCCAAGATCAACAAATCGCTGGCAGTTCAATCAACCTTTGATATGCTGCTGCTGGTAGTTAGTTGTTTGCCAGAGAGCAAATACGAAAAACAATGGAGCCAACATGTTGCTATCAACAGGTCGCTTTTGGCCTGGCTACAACTTTCAGCTTTCACTTTTCGTGTACCTTTTGTTTTAGCCAAAAACCCAGTGCTCAAGTCGACTGAAGCGCACACCTGCTTGATTTCTTATTTTGTGGTTGTGTCGCCAACAGCTCATTGCCTTTTAATTGCTTACAACAACCACGTCGCAGGAGAATGTGTGTCATCACCACCTGTCATCCAGTTTATGATCTTGGGGTTCCTAACTAACGAAATCGCCCTGCGAATTTGCTTGATATGCGATAAGGGTCTCAAAAGTGACTACGAATAGTTCGAATAAATTGAGTCATCTATAGAAATGCGATGTTCTTACTTCAGTTTGCTTGAAATATGAGATGAGCATGGTACAAGTTGAATGGAATTCTTAATTATTTCTGAGCACCTTTCCAAATACAAATCACACACAAAAAATATATATATGGTAGCATCTGATGCCTTTTGAATGTATCTATGCAGTGGCATTCTTTGAATTCGCCGCTTAATTTGCTGGGGAACAAGTCTCGATTCTGAGCACAGCCTTTCATTTACTTGATGTGCATTCAATTGAAGGTGACATCACGACATGCCCACTCCAGATTCCAAATCATGACCTTGAAGAGGCGTCGCTCAATTGGAAAAAGATCACGATCTGGGTGGGGTGACTAATATTTAAAGCTGCATCTTTACCTCAAATAGGCAGCAAATAAAACTCGAAATGTGCGATTGAATCCGACAGATGTCACTTTGGAGACCTAGCACTCATACTCATATAATATCTTTTACTCACAGGTACTGGGCATCATCTGCATGGCCCTGGCCGCTCCTCCTCTGGCCTCGGCCACCTCGTTCTTCATGTTCGTGATCGTCATCTCGTTCATCATCAACATTCTGCTGATCGCCGCCTATTTCCTGGGCATTCGAGAGGCCCTCAATGTGGCCGTCAACTGGATATTCTCGGTGAGTGGCATCTACTGGCTGGTACGGACCGCTTAAAGCAGATGAACTAACCCAAACTCCCTTCGTGTGTTGCCAAACAGGAGCTGATCACCACCGCTGTGCTGACGCTGCTGTACTTCATCGGATTCATTGTCCAGCTGGCCAGGTGGTCGGATGCCACGGGCATGGGTTCCGGCTCGAATACCGCCGCCGGTGTGTTTGGACTCTTCAATTTCCTGGCCTACGCGGCGGGCACGTACTTCCTGTTCCTGGCCCACAGGTCCGGGGCCACCCACTAAGTGCAGCCAACTCAAGTGACTGGATCTTAGTCTAGAGTTATTTCTAATCGTTTACAGAATAAGTGCAGATCGAGTACTTTGTAATTTTGCCTCTTTATTTTTCATTTTGTTTTTGCCAACGTATTTTTGTTTTTTGTTGTTAATTTATGCGAGAACATATGCAAATCGACGGTGGAAAGCACAATGCCCTTCTCCACTTGATGTGTTTTTAATGTTATTTTAAATGGCTAACTAACGTTTAAGTCTTAAATCCACCCGCACAAGACCATATCTACGAAAACGAGTAGGGTGGGCATCCCACTTAATACATTAATATTTATCATTTCATGACTTACATATAATGATCTTGAATTTGATTTGCAATCAAATGAGACAAAGTAGTACATACAATAGTAATATGATTTTTGTTTGCCTTTTACATATAGTTAAATATAACGACTAGCTTGTTGAAAGGATAATAGGATCCTAGTTAAAGGTGGCCCACCCTAATCAATACACACATGCACCAAAAAACAAAAAACGCGACGAAAACGAATTAAGAGCGCTTCAAAGATTTAAGTTCAATAAATTATTTGTATTTTCTCAACCACTGCGAAAGTGAACACAATCTGAAATGAGGAGCCCCTGGGGTCATCTTTCAAATCAAATTATTAATTTACTGGGCTCGTGGGACCAAGTCCTCCACCTCCGGGAAGAGGTAAACGGTGGGTTCCGCTGGTGCGGCGTCACTATGGTGTGCCACTTGCTGCGGCTGCCGTCCAAATGGCGGCACCACAAACGGCCGCACATTGCGGCTAAAAGTACTTCTTCATCTCGTCGTAAAGGGCCAGTACCAGGGCGCCGCCCGTGCCGCGAATGATGTTCGATAGGGCGCCCTTGAAGAAGGCCCCAATGCCCTCCTGCTTGGCAATCACAACCCAGCAGTGGGCCGTGTTCTTGTACACCATCTCGGACTTCTTCAGGCCAGACTGCATCATCATGCGACGACGCACAGTGTCGAAGGGATAGGACGCAATGCCGGCAACGGTGGTGACCACCTGGGCAATCGCCCAGCTCACGTAGAAGGGTGTGTTCTTTGGATTTGGCAGATAGTCGCGGCACGTGTCATAGAATCCGAAGTATGCTGCTCGGTAGATGACGATGCCCTGCACCGACACAATGAATCCACGGTACAGGCCAATGGGTCCGTCACTCTTGATCACCTTCATCAGGCAATCGATCAGGCCGTTGAACTCCCGATTGCCGCCCTGGCCCACATCGGCGGCCAAACTATAGGCGGAAGTAGAAGTAGCAGATTAATTTATAACCTTTTTGACAAAGCTTTTGTATCAATCTTTGTAAGTATCTAAAATAAGAACTATTCTGCTGACTTATGCATTAGCACAATGGCTTTTTCGATCACAAAGTATATGTGCATATGCGCATGAAAACCCTTTAACAAATGAATCCCAATCATAAAGATAATTCCCGCTAAATATAAATATTGACAAAGCAAATGATAAGAGGATCTATATTAGTTAGGGCTATCAATCAACTCACCGGGTTCGGGCAAAGTCAAGCGGATAAACGAAGCACAGAGATGTGGCACCAGCAGCACCACCCGAGGCCAAGTTTCCTGCAAAGTGACGCCAGAACTGTTTGTGCTTGTCCACGCCGCCGAGGAAAACCTGTAGTGAGGAGATGTTGTTTATATACACATGATTATAACGATGGTACCGTAAACTAACCGATTTGTACACATCCTTGAAGGCAAAGTTCAGAGCCTGGGTGGGGAAGTAACGGATTACGTTGGCCAAGTTGCCGCGCCAGAACGACGAGAATCCCTGCTCCTTGGGAATGCGAATGAAGCAATCGACTATGCCCTTGTAGCGCTGATCTGCCGAGATCTGCTTGGACACCTCCTGCACCTGCAGAAGGAGCTTCACGCGCTCGATGGGAGCCACTGCCGTCTTGGCTATCGCCGCCGAAACGCCGCCCATCATGAAGTCCATGATAAAGGACTTGAGGTCGCCCTTACCATGTCCGCCGCCACCGCCTTCATCGCCCATGTTGGATTACTGTTTGTTGATTTTAAAACGATTCAAGTTAGCTTCAAAGTTGGTTGGTAAAAGAGGATAAAAACGGACTTTCACTTTTTTAACTTATAATTTTGATGTCACAACGTAGAGATCTGAACTGTGATAGACTAACAACGTTGTGAGCCCGTTCGTCAAATTGACATTCGATGTATTTGGCTTGACTTACTTTGATTCGCAGTTTAAAAATGGACGAACGTTTTATTCCCGATTTAGCTTGAATAGAAATCGGATATGTCTGAAGAACAGATATAGAAAAAGTTCCGCGAAACGGATCTATTAACTTCGACCTGCCGAAGTTTTTTTTTTATAAAGTAGACCCATTGATTAACTGCACAAAAGGTCTGTGTAAGTATGCTACTATAATTTTTCAAGTAAAAATACATACCATCATTGCGATGATTGAGTTCAATTGAAAATATTAAAGATCAGTATACATACGTGCGCAGAAAGAAAACCACAACATTGTACTATTTTTATCAATTTTTATATATTTTTAAACCAACCGAAGTTGAGTTTGTTTGTTTGTCGTTTCGGAGGCGAAAGAATCTACAGGTCTTCGTGTCGATTCTTTGCATCTGATCGATAACACTGATTTGGCTGGGGAGATGTGGGGCGACCCAGCAGCATGGCGGTATATAGTAAATAGCCTAACCCAAACTTAACAATACTAATCAATATCGTCGCTATGTTCGTTCGTCATTCAGTGTAGTGGGTCTAGTCTCATGAGCTGAGTCGTATCCGCTCTCTGCCCCGAGCATTGCTGTTTGCTGTTTTGTTGTTCTATTGACGCTGGCCATCGTTCCGTAAATTAGTTCCCAGTTTTTATAAATAATATAATTTCATAATTATATCAGAGGGAGGGAGGAAGGGTTCTTGCTGTTATTGCTTGCCGTTGTTCTTGGTAAGGGGTGTTGGTTGCAGATCAAACTTAGCATTTGCTGTTGCTATTGCTGTTGTTTTAGCTTTTCTCATTCAGTTATCTAATATAATTAGCTGGTAGTGTTTAGTTTTACTTGTTTTGTTGTTGTATGTTGTTGTATTTTGCTTGTTTGAATAATTTAATAATTTAATTTACAAGACCTTCTTGATCTCATCGTACAACACAAGCACGAAAGCGCCACCAGTGCCTCTGAGAATGTTGGAGAAGGCGCCCTTGAAGAAGGCACCGGTGCCCTCCTGCTTGGCGATGGTGCCCCAGCAGTGCAGTGTGTTCTTGTAGATGACCTCGGTGGCCTTGCGACCAGACTGCATCATCATGCGACGACGCACGGTATCGAAGGGATAGGACACGATGCCAGCGACGGTTGTCACAACCTGGGCGATGGCCCAGCTGATGTAGATGGGTGTGTTCTTGGGGTCGGGCAGCATACCGCGAGCGGTATCGTAGAAGCCGAAGTAGGCGGCACGGTAGATGATGATGCCCTGCACGGACACTCCGAAACCACGGTACAATCCAACGATGCCGTCGCTCTTGAAGATCTTGGTCAAGCAGTTGCCCAGACCGGTGAATTCACGCTGACCACCCTTGCCAGTATCAGCAGCCAAGCTGTAATTCAAGTGAAAGCATTTCGTTAGTTCATCGGGCATTCCTCTTTGCAAATATTGCAACATACCGAGTACGGGCAAAGTCCAAGGGGTAGACAAAGCACAGAGAGGTAGCACCAGCGGCACCACCGGAGGCCAAGTTGCCGGCGAAGTAGCGCCAGAACTGGGTGTTCTTGTCCACGCCACCCAGGAAGACCTAAGTTGCATAATAACAATCAGGAGCGTTAGTTATTTCCGCTCGCATTGCCGAGGTGCAGCTTGTGAAGTAAGTCTCACCTGCTTGTACTTGTCCTTGAAGGCAAAGTTCAGAGCCTGGGTTGGGAAGTATCTGATGACGTTGGCCAAGTTGCCGCGCCAGAAGGACGAGAATCCCTGCTCCTTTGGAATGCGGATAAAGCAATCAACCATGCCCTTGTACTGCTTGTCGGGGCTGATTTGTTTCGAGATGTGCTGAACCTGCAGGAGCAGTTTCACACGCTCAATGGGGGCGACGGCAGTCTTGGAGACGGCTGCGGAGATGCCTCCGGCAGCGAAATCCTTGACGAATCCAACAGCATCGAAATCCTTGCCCATTTTGCTGTAAACACATCGCGCAATTGGCCAAAACTCTGATTAATCTCGACAGTTCCGTCATCGCTGATGGTGATGTTGACACTTGGTGATACCGATGATAATATACCTCTGTGACGTTATGGATGCTGATATATCCCCATGGCATGCGGGTGATGGTGCTTGATATACCCATGCGTTGCATAATGGTTACGATATACGGTATTTTGTATGGTGGATGTACGATTCACTTTCTTTACACAGGTGCAGAAGGCACAATATAAGAATAGCCCAAAGCCAAATGAAAATGTGAAAATTGTCAATGTTCCAAATTATAAACCGAAACCGAAAAACATGCACTTTTTTTTTGTTTTTGAAACAGCACTACAAATGGTTACAAAACACTTTTGGGGGTTAAATAAAAAGGTTTTAGCGACAAATGAAACTTAAAACTAAACGCGAAAATGGTAAAACATGCAGTAAATAATGGGTTAGTGTAAATGGTAACTTAAACTTAAGACTAAAGAGGGTTAATATTCGATGGTTTATAGAAACATCAGCGATTTGGTGTGTTAGTATGCGTGTTGGCAGTTGCCGGTAAAACTGGTTTTGTGCAAAAAAAAAAAAAAAAAAAAAGGTGAAAAGTTTTATTGGTCGGCTGGTTGCCACGTGGTTTGAATCGAGCTACATATATGAAAAGACTACTGTTGGAATATTGAGTTCTAACCAGTTTGCAGTTCAAAACTAGGGAAAATACATGACATTACGTAGCATAAATACTTATTCAATTTATTTTAACTAGAGATCATGGCATAAATGAAATTCAGTTCTAGCTGAATAGAACCTAAGTTTACTGGTTTTCATTGAGTCTTTACTTTGGTATTGCATAATTGCCACACCACACAAAAAAAAAATTGAATTGAAAAAGTTCAATGGAAAAAGCCAGTGTATATGGGCATTTGTGTGGGTGTGAGCAAGATGGCTATAGGGGCCAAAATTCTTTTTTGGCTTTCAGTTTTTTTTTTTTTGGCAGACGGCATTTGCCATTGAAGCACGCTTCGTTAATTTTAGACTTTCAAGAGCAGCCGCCGCTCTGCGTTAGCCGTGTGGTTTAAATTATATTTTAACGAAATTAAATTAGCATTTCATTGACAAGGGTTTTATGTAACACACTTGGCAAGAGAACTGTGCTTTGGCATTGTTTCTCTTCTGTTCTCTTTCTTTGAAATAACAACCGTTATCTAATCGTGTTAAACTTTTGATTGGCTGGAAAGAGAGTGAAGCTTTTTCTTCGGCCGTAGAGAGCCGTGCTGGAGGGCTCGTGATGTAATAGCCTCAGCTGGAAAAATTCTACAGTTGCACGTGGAAAGCTTCTACGAAGGCTAAGCAGTTGTAGTAGTATCCACAATCCAGGGTTTAGTTTATTCTTAATTCATTGTTAT